CTGTGCATGTGTGTCAAGGACAGAAAGGCAGATGTGGCAGTTTAAGGTGTCAAAGCAGTTTGGAGAGAAAAACAAAGTAAAGAACAACAACAAAAAAAAAGAAAATGATTAATCGATTATTAAATTAGTCATCGATTATTTTAATAATCGATTAGTCATCGATTAATCGATTAATCGTGGCAGCCCTATATGCAGTACAAGAATTAACAAGGACAAGAGTTTCGCTTTTGCTTTGTAAAAAAAATTACAGAATGCAAAGATTTAAAATCCTTTCAATACATTTAATTTATAAAAGTATAAAATGAACTTCAGTAGACAGTTTGATTCAACATCAACATAATTTTAAAAATAGATCTAATCCAAACAATATTAACCATAAGTTAGAAGAAAAAACTGTTGTACTGTTTTTATGATATTGCAATGAGTACCTTTTAGACAAATAACTATTTGGCTTACAATGGAAGAGTTGTCCAGATTGTGTTTTTTTTTTCTTGCACTAATAGATTTTATTGGTTTTTCATTTTGCGAGTGAAGAACTTGGGCAGAAGCCAAAAATTAGAGTCAAACATACTTCGTAGTTAAATTCCATTAATTCCAAAACTGTACAMAATATTAGTTTTTTTGTTCTTTGTTTTGATTTTTTGCTGCTTTCAATGACAYGTTAAAGAGATTTTCTAATTGCTATAAGCGCAGTACAGATACCACGTCTTTGTAGTTGACAGCACCGAAATAAAATGGTGCACAGGACAGACAATGCTTCATATGTTTAGCCAAAGCCATTAGGGAAAAACACACAAAACAAAAACATCACTCCTAACTCGTAGCRAAGCTGAAAGGAAATAAAAGCACCCTTCTTATCAGTCATATWCTGGCGCCTGGGGCTTTTTTAGTTTGTGCTGTGTTTTTGTCTTTTTCATTTTCAAGATTTTTCTGCTTTTATTTCCCTGCCCGTCTTTGTTTTAGTAAGCTGCGTTGTCCAGAAGTCTGAGGCCTCTGTGTTCCGCCCACATCTGCCTTCCCCGCTGGAGATTAAATATAATGGACGGCACCGTTAATTAAGCAACTAATCTTGCTGTTTATGTTTTGTTTTAATTTCTGCTCAGAGATGTGAGGACAAACTCTCCCCCCAAAACGACTGCTTTCTCACACTGCTGATGTGCACACWTTAACAAAAACAGCCCCGTGCACGGTTCAGTAAACTGACAGRGATGCAGCTTTAACTTCTTTTTAGCTAAAAGAAAAAACAAGCTATTTATTTTTGTTAGCGGTTCAGTTAATACTGTTGATTTAAAGCCTCACCTTCAATTTGGTGTAGCATGTGGACAGTGCTTTAGCTTTTGCTGCAGCTGAACCAATTTTCTGCTTCAAGCGCCTTTAATAAACTTCGTTGCACTATCAGGAGGCTTCAGCTTCCCTGATGAAGGCCATTTATTTCAAATTAAAGGAGAGTTCCTTATCTTCTGCGGGCTCAAATAGAGAAAGAGATAAAGACGGCATGCTTTGCTGTTGCACTGTCTGTGTAGTTAATTTGGTGACAAAAAGCGGTGGGCGAGGGAACGGGTAAGAAAGAGGGAAGACCGTGTTGWAGGGAAGACGAAAAGTGGGAAAAGGTGGATTACACATCCAATAAAAATGACTGCGGGCTGTGTGGAGTAACAGAGAAACGCGATAGGCTGTCATATTTTTAAAACAAGTATTTGAACAAATGCCTCTGCCTTGTTCTGTCTCTTCTGTCGTTTTATACCATTTCRTTTCCACGTTTCTCTGGTCATTATCATCTTTAACCTTCATCACCCCCGCTCAGATAAACTCCGTTACCGCTGCCATGTTAGTTTTATCGATAATATAGTGTGTACGTGCCTGCGTGGGTATGGATCTGCTGTAATTGAAACGATTAGGGTCAGTTCTTTTCTACGGTCAAAGGCAAAATGAGCCTTTAATTTGGCTTTCAATTTGACGTGGAGTTAAATGCTCCTCATAGGGAAGGTGTATATGAGGGGACACGGTGCAGAAATGGGTACGTTGGCACGTAGAAGAGCGTGCGCACATGGCTGTTTTTTTGATGTTCAAAGCRCACTGCAGCGGTGTGTGTTGCCGGTTGCAGCTGTGCACATGCCAGTCTGTGGATGTGTGGGCGTTCATAACGTGCTTGTCTCTGCTTCAATCAGTCAGAATCTATTACAGCAAGGCGCCGAAGCAGCAAACCTGTCATATTTAACACTCACAAAGATAGACAGGCAAAGAAAAATGATAATACAGCCCACATATCAAATTAAGCACAGCTAATTCAATCTCTCAAAGCTCACTTTTCTGCTGTATTTGATCAAAATGATCCTRCCCTCTCAATTAAGTGTGATTTAGTGCTAATTGTGTGATTTCCAGTGAAGCACGTACCATACAGCCCACTCGTTGTTAAACAGGTGTAGATGTGACTTGTTTTTTTAATCTTTGTCTTGCTTTTTTATGCAGATATRTTTTTTATTATTCTTACGTTTTTATAAATGTCTCAGACATAATTTTAAAAATGAAGTTGTGCACCAACGCAACAGTTAAAGCTTTGAAATGTGACTTGTTCCACTTTTTAGCAACTATTCCCACATTTCTGTAGCTGTATGCTGTACACACACAAAAAAATTAGGGCTGTCAAATGATTAATATTTTTAATCTGATTAATCACAACGTAGCTGTGAATTAATCATGGTTAATCGTAACTTTAATATACATTTCAATTGCGTATTGATAAGATAAATTACTTGAGTTATTAATTAGTTTTTAATGTTTTTATTTAGAAAACAAAGTTGACGCTTAGACATGATTTTTTGAATACAAAACAGGACCTAAAAAATGCTCCAAAC